ATTTATTTTTTACATTCCAATCCCAGTTCCCCCTCTCTCCTCTCCCCCCACTCTCCTCACTCCCCCCTTTTCCCATTTGCTCCACAGAGAGGTTAAGGCCTCCCCTAGGAAGTCTGTCCCATCATCTAGTTGAGGCAGGGCCAAGGCACCTCTGTACCCCTACACCCCTGTGTCTAGTCTGTACAAGGTATCTCCCCATATAGAATGAACTCCAGTAAGTCAGTTTGTACATTAGTACTAGATCTTGGACCCACTGCCAGTGGCCTCATATATTGTCCCAGTCACACCATTGTCACCTATATTAAGGGAGTCTAGTTCAGTCTTATGCAGATTACCCATTTGTCAGCCCTGAGTCAGCGATCTCTCACTAGCTCGGGTCAGCTGATTCTGTGGGTTTCCCCATCATGGTCTTGACTCCTTTGTTCATATTTTCACTCCTCCTTCACTTCGATTGTACTCCAGGAGCTTGGCCTACTGGTTAGTTGTGGATTTCTGCATCTGTTTCTGGAGAAGGGTTCAAACTTCTCTGGGATGTGGATTGTGGGCTGGGTATCTTTTGCTTCATGTCTGGTATCCACTTATGAGTGAGTACTTACTATATTTGTCTTTCTGGTTTTAGGTTACCTCACTTAAGATGATTTTTTTTTTTTCTAGTTCTGTCCATTTGCTTGCAAATTCTAGGATGTCTTTGTTTGTTACCGCTGAGTAGTATTATACTCCTCTGTGTAAACATATCACATTTTCTTTATCCCTTCTTCAGTTGAGGGGCATCTGTTTCCAAGATCTGGCTGTTACAAATAATGTTGCTATGAGCATAGTTGAGCAAATGTCCTTGTGGTGTGAATGTGCCTCCTTTGGGGTGTATGCAAGAGCAGTGGTATTGCAGGGTCTTGAGGTAGGTTGATCCCTAATTTTCTGAGAACTCACTATACTGATTTCCACAGTGGCTGTACATGTTTGCACTCCCACCAACAATGGAGGAGTGTTCATTCCCCTTTCTCCACATCCTCTCCAGCATAAGCTGTCATTGGTGTTTTTTGATCTTAGCCATTGTGTTTGGGGGAAGATGGAATCTCAGTGTGGTTTTGATTTGCATTTTCCTGATGACTAAGGATGTTGAGCATTTCCTTAAGTGTCTCTAGGCCATTTGAGATTGTTCTATTGAGAAATCTCTATTAGATCTGCACCCCATTTTTAATTGGATTATTTGGTAGTTTGATTTCTAGTTTTTAAGTTCTTTTTATATTTTGGAGATCAGCCCTCTGTCAGATTTGGATTGGTGAAGATCTTTTCCCATTCTGCAGGGACACTTTTTGGGTTTTGATGGTACATATAATCTCTTCTGTGATCTTCACCAACAGAGAGCGAACAATCCAAGAGATGCGCCGACATGGTCTTCCCACATCGCCTCTGAGTTCTACTCTGAAATCTCCTATACAGTCTCCTGAACATATTAATACATCGTTATCAGGAAGGTATGTATCAGATACCAAGGACAGGCAAAGCTGATCTGTAGTTGTAAAAATTCTGGAATTACTGTCCTTGTCAGGGAAAAAGAGATGGCTCAGGAAGGTGTTCAGGGGAACTTCTGGAGCAACAGAGATGTTGTGTGTGTTGGTGGCATGGCAGCTGTTACATGGTATGTGCGGTTGTAAACATTCATCAGCTGAGCATGTGATCCATGCATTTCTCTCTGTGTCTATTTCACCCAGCTAAAAAGGAAAGGCTTAGGAATGTGGGTCTGTAAGGAGCACTTGCCCTGCATGCAGGAACCTTGGTTCATTCTTAGCCCTGCCGAGGAGTTGGAATCAAAGCCATAGGAAATCGCTAAGAAATATGAGATGTCACAGGATGATATTAATCAAGTACCAAGTTCAGTGTACTGATAATAGCTGATGGAAGTGGGAAAGGCTTAGAGACAGAACAGTAGAGGTACAGTGCACTCAGCCTGGCAGGAATGGCGGGCTGTAGGGGAATAATGTAGGGTGGGTACACACAGTACGTGGAGGTGAGGTATGCGCAGGTGGAGACTTCACTCTAACTCAGAAGGGGCCTGGGTCTTTCCTGACTATGGGGTGGATACAGAGGGTTGAGGGAAGACTTGTCTGTGGTAGACCTTCTTCACAGCTGTGTCTGAGCCACACAAAAGTGTAGGAACCAGACAGAGGAGGAGCAGAATGAGTTCAGAAAGCTGTGTGCCCAGTTCTTAGGAGGTGGAAGCAGGAAGGTCAGGAGTTCAAGGTTGTCCTCAGCTGCATAGTGAGTTTGAGGCCAACATAGGCTACATGAGACCCTGCCTCAGACAGACAGATAGACAGACAGACAGACAGACAGACAGACAGATAGACAGACAATCAAGAAAAGGCGCCATAGCCAAGGTATGTGGCTCACTGGGATTAAACTGAACACAGCTATCTGACGTGCACCACACCCCCCCCCCCCCCCCCCCTGATGTACCTTGGTTCTAGCTGCAAGCTCTGCTCTGAAAGCAGCTGTTTTTGTTTGGTTTTGGATTTTTGTCAGTGAAATTGTACATTTCTGGCTTCTTATTTTCAGTAGTGCATTTATGAGACCCAGCCATTGTTGTGAGTGCTACCCGTGGTTATAATTGCTGCCCAGTGGAGTACCCTGATGTGATTACACCATTAGTTTATGCTCTGTGCTTGACAGGCATCTGATAGCTGTTAGAAAAGTGTCCTGAGTATAGACTTAGGACTGAAATTGCTGAGGTCACTTATGTGCAATCTTCTGTAGACATGAGGATCTGATCCCAAGAAGTTGATGTTGGGATACCTTCTGCTGAGGCAGGGTTGAAGGGATGTACTAATTCCCTGGAAAATAGGACAGAAGCCTGAGTCAGATAGTGACGGAAGAGTGCAGACTCACTGACAGAAATGGTTGAGTCAGTTTCTTTCAAGTGATGCATTTCTTTGCCTCTTTTAATAGAAGTGCTGTGTGTAGAAGATAATTAGCATTTCCTCAGAGGCGCAAAGTCCTCATAACAAACAATGGTTGCTCTGTGCTTCCACAAACTGAGGCCAGTGTTTAGGGTCCCTGGCTAGGGATTCCTGGTTGCTACTTTTTGCCATAATGTTTACATTCTTATAACACTTACTTTCTCTTTCCCTTTGAGTCATTGCATCCTTACATCTGGTAAGGTACCTTACCAGTTCCCTTTTGTTACAAAGCTTCAGAATAAGATAACAATTTTTCTCTTGACTGGATGGTTTAGTTCTGCAGGGGCCAAATAGGATGTGGAGCCAATAGCCCCTGCCTCTCCACATAAAATTAAACTTTACTGGAGCATCATCTGTGTTTACATACTGCCCCAGACAGCCACTTGTCTACACAAGCAAAACTGGGTAGTTGTGATGCTCCCCATAGCCTACCCATCTAAAACATGTATTTCCTGGTCTCACTCATCAGGTAGCCTCTAAAAAACTCAGCTGTAACCAATGGGGGGAAAAAAGAAGTAAAATGACAAATAATTCATTGGTTTTATTTTTTAAAAGGCTTGACTTTGTAGATTCCCTAAAAATTTCTTGGGGATGGTTGGAACTCAGGGATCTTGGACTTCTTAAGAGTCACTGATCACAGGGCTGGGGACCAGCCACTGTGGTAGAGTGCACACCAAGTGTCAGCAAGGCCCTTGGTTTGACCCCAGCATCTAAAGTGAATGTCTATGTGCATGTGTGACGTGTTGGCCTGTATGTGAACGTGTAAAGTCCAGAAGTCAATGCTGGGTGTCTTCCTCTACTGCCTTCTACTGTACTTTTTCAGGCAAGGTCTCTCATTGGAACCTGAGCTCATCATTTCAGTTAGATTGGTTGGCCAGTGAACCCCTGATACCCATCTTTCTTTGCATGCCCCTAGCTCTGGGGCTACTCAGGGGCCAGCTCTGAACTCAGGCCTTTCTCTTCCATAACAAGCACTTTACCTGCTAGCCTGCCTCTGCAGAGTGTGTTCCACATAGCTCCACTGCTTCACACCCGTCAGCACTGCCTAGGCTCTGGTCTCCACACCCTCACCAGACTCACTTCCGTTTCCAGACTTACAACCATCCCAGTCCATGTACATTAGAATCCTTTACAGCAGTTAACAGATTCACAACTTTTAATTTTGTAATAATTGACAATTCTCAGTGTTGCAACATGTTTATTAACCAGTAATCCATTTGTGTAGATGTTTCTGGGTAATGTCGCTAAAACTAATATTAAAGGATTCCTCCAGTGAACACTCAGAAACAAATTACACACACATGAAATAGTTTCTCAGATTATGTCTCTCTAGTTTAGAAATACATAACCCAATTTTTGCTCTTATTTTCTTTTTATTAACACCACAGAAAATAGGAAAACATGTTTTTCCTACTGCCACACACCCAACACAAACCTTTTGGCAATTAATTCTCCATCACACACTGGCTAGGTGTCCTATAGTTTCACTCCATTCTTTAAACTGCTCTGCCTGAAGACAATGTCAGATCCCTTTGGTAAGGCGTCAGTCAACAAGGGTCCTCCCCTCATCTGTTGCCAAATACACCCCAGGTGAATGTGCTTCTGACCCACCTGCTGTTAAATCTAGGGTCCCACGGGTTTTCCTCCCAGGTTTGATTGAATTTGCCAGGGGCCCACACTTTGCTTATGGTTACCCAGTTACTACAAAAGATATCAATGTATTGCCAGACAAACACAAGTTACAAAAAGGTGTGCACAGCTTCCATTCCCTCTCCAAGCACAGCTTCCACATGTCCAGCTCTCTGGAAGGCCTCCAGCCCTAGTTCACTGGGGCCTTTACAGAGGCTTGAGTACCCAGCGTAACAAATGGACACATCATTAGCATTGGTGACTGGGCTCTTGGCCTTCCTCCTCTACCCAGCAGCACCTTCCTGGCGAGCAGCCCTCCCCTAAAGTCCTCAGCCCTTAGGCCTCTCATCTACATCCACATCCCCAGAGTCACTCTTACTGCCCAAGTACTTCCTGGGAGCCTATGCTAGGTACAAGACGCAGAGACCAACTATGTAGTTGTTCTTTAATCACAGTAGCACACAAGCATGTTAAGGACCCTGGGAGTAAGCAATCCCAAATCACGTTTTATTGCTTTTGTCTTCGTGTGTCCAACACTACTTCACAAAGTAGACTGGTGCTCTTTAAATATCATGAGATTTGGGAAACAAGTTTTTATGAGAGACTAAAACACTGTTGAATTAAGTTTTTATTAATACATTGAACAACTATATGGTTTTCCTCTTCATTTGCTTTTCAGATGATGGTTTTCAGTGAGTTCCCACATGGATCTTTATAAGAGCACAAGAGTAATGAAATATTTGAAGTACTTGTTCCTGCGAATCATGAACATTGACACAAATTCTACCTCTGTCAACCTTTATTTAAATCAGTGGATATTTATATAAAAATGTTTAGTTTAAAAGAGCCCTACATGTATATTTTCATATATGTGAAAAAACAAAATATGTATTAATAATAGTGCTTAACTGATGTAATATGTGTATTTTTATTATTCCCAACTAAAATTACTCCTTAAAATGTGTTTATACTGTGAATTAATTTAATATACTCACACTATGCTTTAATAATGTTTCTTAATGAGCAAAAATATAAGCATGTAAATATTCTTCCATTATTTAGATGTGTTTGGTTTTCATACCTGTGTGTAAGCCCATAGCATGATGGACTAAGAGAGTGATCCACTTGATGCTTTTCTCTTGTGTAACATCAACCTACATTTACTGTCTATCATCCAGAAATTATATTTAAATATAGTCTTAATATCAGAACTCTAGTTTTTAATAAAAGAGTTTATTTGAACTTATGGAACTTATGGTTCCAGAAGGATAGAACCCATTTGGGAAACATGGCAGCGTAGCAGTAGGAGCAGGAAACTGAGTAACCATGCCTTTACCACAGCACAAAGCCAAGAGTGAACAGGAAGTATGGAGAAACTGTGTACTCTGAAAGCCCTTCCCCCAGGGACATACTTGCTCCAGTAGGTCTGTTCCTCCTAAACCTCCCCCAAACAGCAACCCATAGCTGGGGGCCAAGTATTCCAAGTATCTCATTTCTCGTTTAAACCGTCACATTTTGTAAAACCAAAAATTTAAGTGACACCATTTCTCTTTTTCCCAAGATGTTTTTGTTATTTCTGAACATTCAAACCTACTAGAGATCAGCTCCTTGTTTGAAATTTATTTATATTACCATCAACTATGAAAAATATTTCCCTGGATGTAGAGCCCTAGCCAATAGAATATTTCTTTCATTGAGCGTTTTTAAAAAGATAACTTTTTATGTGCCTAGTGACCTCACTAGCAGAACTCTTGATAAAGTAGTTATTGCCATGTGTAATTAATTGCTGCAATCTGGAAGAACTATGGTTGAAGACATAACATTTATCTATGATACACCTTATTATTTTGGCTGTCATGTGGGCTTTTCACATGATACAAATTTTATTAGAATTAATTTAAAATATATTCAGAGTTTTGTAAGATAACAAAATGGAAATTTGGGGCATTTTTTACCTAATTAGATTCTTCAGTGTACTATTCTAAAATTTCAGAATATGAAAGTATATAATGTAAACATAGAAAAATAGTTTTATTAACAGTCCAATATGTATCTGACAATACCAGATACATATTGTGACCTCTAACCTCGCATAACTCAGCCCAGTCTTTGAGAATAGTATGAAAACACTGTCCCTAGGGCATATAAATTGAAAACAGCTTCTTAGAAATTCACTTTCAAGGTTGTCATTTTAAAGAACTGAGTTGTATGCAAACATTAAGGAAAGAGCAGAAGTACGAAATAGAATGTAAAATACAAATACTAATCATGTTTCAACTGTTCTCGTTTGAAGAAAATCCTCTTTTCAAACTAGATTTCATTATGGTCGAGAAAGAATGTAAAAGTCAGCATAGACAAGTGAAAGATCAACTATGAACGTGTTTTGTTTCCTCTCGGGTTAATAAAGTGGGTTTTAGGTAGTGCTCTTTGTGTAACTGCTGTGCCTTGGATGTTCAGGACGTGCCCTTTTGCAATTATATGCTCCATATTTGAGTGTAGGATAATGTACTCTCCCACCATCTTTGGGATTTTATTCATTCTATCTCCTTTGAGTAAATTCATGTTTTATAGCAAAATTCCAAAGGGAGGAGCATTTGCAATGTCATTTGGAAAATCTTTTAGTAAATACTCATTTAAAAAAATATTCATCCACATCTTTTCCCCCAAAGCAGTAGCAAGACACACTTTGTTAATGTTCATTTTTATGTTTCTGTAATTATAAATGTCATATTCCTAATTGTTATTTTATAACTATCAGACTACAGTTTTTTTAAACAATTTTAATTTAAAATACCCTATTCTTTTTACAGCTATTTTTACTTTTTGTTTTAAATCATGGAGCTTGACTGTAGATTTACCAATAAACATACCTGTCAATTTGCTTTCTCTTTCTTTCCAATATGTTTTATAATTTTATATTAGTAATGTTCTTAATTGTAAATTTTACTCAAATCAAACTTCATCGTGATGCCAGCCACCTTTTTAAATAACTCATTTGTTTCCAGTTAGTTCAAAATATAAGGATTTAAATCAACATTCCTACTGGGTGCCCTGTGAACAAAATGCATTAAAGTGTGTCTGTAGTTATACAGTTACCCTTACTCTGTGTCTCCTGTCCTCCCACCTCATTGCAAGTTATCACACACCTCATAACCTTCTCCCCTACTTAAAGATCCTACCACATGGTGTGGTGAGATTTTGTTTATGCTATAACAAATAAAGCTTGTTTGAAGAGAGTGTAGAGCTAGTCATACTAGGCAGCCATAGAGGCCAGGCTGTGGAAGCACACACCTTTAATCCTAGCAATCAGAAGACAGGCAGGAAGATCTTTGTTAGTTCAAGACCACCCTGGGCTACACGAAATTGATCCAGTCTAAAAGAGAAACAGAGCTAACACACAAAGGTGATCCCAGCACCTGGGATCACGTGCCTTTGATCCTAGCACTAAGGAGGTAGAGACAGGAGTGATATGGCTGGGCAGAGAGGAATATAAGGCAGGAGGAGACAGGAGCTCAAGGCAGTCTGATGCAGCAGTCCAAGCAGTCAAAGGACAGGATCACCCCTTTGGTCAGAGCATTGGTAGAGGTAAGACCTCCCTGGTGGCTGGCCGCTCTCCTTCTCTGATCCTTCAGCTTGCACCCCATGATAGCTGACACAGTTTTTATTACTAAGACTTATTAGAACTCATGCTACATCATGGCTTACTGTCCGTCTTTCTACTATTAGCTTTATCTAGCATCAGTCCTTTTATGTCATTGTCTTTCAGTGTGCACATTGTAGTTACCTGGAGGACTTCAAGGAAAACCAAGCTACACATGAGCTCATACACTACAATGAATAGATGAGAATTTCCATGAATAGGGCACAGTCTTGTGCTTGACCAGGTTTTCAGAACTAAGTATGAATTACCTCCTATGGGGAGGGGCTGAAAGATAAGCAGAAAGTGATTGGTTACCCCCCACCCATAACAGTCATGCTCCTGTTGTATCTGTGGGCACATCATGCCTGGTGGAGTAAGACCATTGATGACAATTCTTGTCAAGAGCCTACATAGCATTTTTCATCATAGCCCATAGAATTTGGTGTGTTGTTAATGAAGGGACCAGCTTCCCTTTCAGCAGCCATAACAGCCGAACACGTGCTTGCCATAAACCTGCCTTGGTCACTTAGAGGTCAGATGCCTGTCTCTGACAAGGAACCCATCAGAAGTTAGTCGCTAGAAATTCAGATGCCTGTCTCATGACAAGGAACCAATCGGAAGTTAGCTGGTGGCGCTATGCTTTACGACCCTGGGTGTGCTTTACGGACAAGCACACAGCAATGACGTAGAGAGCATAGCAACCACCCTGGGAGGGCCTATGGGCCATAACAACCAGTTGACCAATCAACACAGGGCAAGCCCTCCAAGCCTGGAGGCACACCAATCCTGAGCCTGTGC